CGGCTGCCTGGCTGGCGTGGCCCGCCGCGCGGTTCGGCGTGTTTGTTTGAGCTCGAATTCTACTCGTCAGCTCCGCGGAGCGAATTCCGGCGGTCCCGCGCGCGCGCGTTTCTGTTGGGCGCGCGCGGGCGCCGGGGGAGTCGGTTGGTTTGGATCGAGCTCGAAATGCGGCGGCGGCGCGGCCGGCGGGATCGGGCGGCGATTTGGTCAGAGTTTGACTTTTTCCTTCCCCAGCCGCCGCCGCCGTGGACTCGAGCCGCGCTGCCTACTTTTTTTTTCTCGCGCGTGTGGAATTCGCCTGATTTGGACTGGTGGATCACCTACCCCGGCGCGTCCGGCCAGCTCGGGAACGTATAGGCGCCTTCCGAGAGCTGCTCGCGTAGGCTCTACTGGATCGGCGGCGTGCTCGTTTTGCTTTCCTCGGGTCGTCTCACCGCTTGCCATATCTGAATCACGCGTGCGCGCGCGCGCATTGATTGGAATTCGGGCTGCACTGCTAGTGCTAGAGCAGCCGTCAGGTGGCCGGGGCGGTGTGGTGCTGGCCTGTAGGGCCCCGATTCTTCTTCTAGATCGCCGTTCAGCTTGCTTGATTTTTACTACTACTTATTAATTATGATCTCTTGCAACAGTGCCGTGCTTACCTCGTGTATTGCAAATGCAGGGGAAGGGGCGAGGAGTCAGCTGCCTGGCATTTCATCAGGCCCTGGTGTGGTGTAGCAGCGGCCTTCGCACCCAAATAACCGGAGCTTTTAGATGATCTGGAGATGGTGAGGAGCTGAGAGTACCTAGAGTTCGACAGTGGGGGCTGTGGGGGCAGCAAGGACATGACTGTCATGCCGCCTGTGCGCCATCGGCCCGCGGCCAAGAGGCCCATGTGGATAATCGTGCTCCTGTGCCTCGTCTGCGTCGTGCTGATCGGGGCGTACGTGTACCCGCCGCGGCACTACTCGCAGTGCTACCTCTCTGCTTCTAGCGTCTGCACGCCGTTCAAGGACTGGCTCCCGTCCATCGGCCGCCGGGAGAAAACCGATGACGAGATCATCTCAGCCGCCGTTATCAGGGATATCCTTGGAATGCCCATGTCCACGTCGAAGAATCCAAAGATTGCTTTTATGTTCTTGACACCTGGCTCACTGCCCTTCGAGAAATTGTGGGAGAAGTTTCTGCAGGTTTGCCTGATTTCACATCTTGTCCTTGTGCAATTTTAAGGAGTATAGTTCATTCATGGTTTCTTTGGGTTTTCATTAACTGATGGTGCCGGGGTTCATTAATTTTTTTCAGTTATTATACAAAGAGAACTAACTATATGGGTCGCTGAGAAACAATTTAGTGGTCGACACCTAACCATTATTTTCAGTAATAAATGCATACTATTGAGATATATTAGCTTCATGCCAGCATTCATTTTTGAACGGTTGAACATGAAGAGATACTTTATCTGCACAAGTGAATTATAAGTGATCCTCTTGACCAAGTCAATAATACTATCTTGCTAGCATGCACTTTTCACTATAATCTTGTACCTCCATGCTACTAACCATCTCTGCATGTCTACATGAAGTAATGTTGTCTATTGTTTATATAATTCATGTCAACTTAAAACAAAATCACTTTGATACACAGGGTCATGAGGGAAGATACTCCATCTATGTGCACGCATCGCGTCAGAAGCCTGTGCATACTAGTTCTCTTTTTGTTGGCCGAGATATTCATAGTGATGCGGTAATAATTCTCATCTGTCCTTCAGTTCTTCGTAAGTTTGCATGGGTGTTTTACATAAACGATGTGATTTCGCTGAGGAGATTTGTCAAGTACAATTTCTCTTATATCTTCAAAACTTACGTTTCGAAGAAAATTCTCCCTCTCAATGAATGAAGAATGTGTTAATGGCTCAACTGATTGATATTGATGCCATCTGAAACTTTTGTTTTCATTAATATGTTCACTCCAAGGAAGGAGCAATGAGCAATGGCTAAACAGTGAGCTCATATTGATATGGTTGAGAACATAAGTTGACCAAGATCGCTTGCATTTAAGAGTATTAGTATCATTCCCAATTCCCCATGGCATTACTTGTATCGTCAAGGCCAGTCTTAGTACCATGACGTATGGATCTTCTGACTTCTAAAGACCACTATTAGCAGTTTGGATTGAGATGCCGAAAAATCTTAGTCTACTAATTTGCAAATCGAGGAGCTTTGTGCATTACATATGTTTTAGGTTTATTTCTAACAATTATAACATAGGTTTGATGTTGCATGTTTGTGGTTGTCAAAATTGAATAGAGTATGTACTTGCTATGCAGGTTGTATGGGGAAAGATTTCAATGATAGATGCAGAGAAGAGGCTATTAGCAAATGCGCTGGAAGATGCGGATAATCAATTTTTTGTCTTGCTTTCTGATAGGTTTGAATTCCTGGTTATGAATGATTTCCTTCTTGAGAGATTCTTTCACCATACTGAAATCAGTATTTACTCTCTCTCGCAGCTGTGTTCCGCTTCATTCATTTGACTATGTCTTTAATTACCTGATGGGAACAAACATCAGTTTCATTGATTGGTAAGACTACTGGAACTTGCATTTCATTACGATTTTGAAAAATAAAGGAAGTAAAGGGAATTAGTGAAACAAGTGGCACTGGCCAATATCACAAGGACGTTGTTTATTAGTTTATACATTGTTTTATCACTTATAGATGTCCATGTCCATGCATGTTGATTTTTGTCCGCATTTATTGCCATTTTGTAGTTTCCAGGATCCTGGTCCACATGGAAATGGAAGGTATTCTCTTGAGATGCTTCCTGAAATAGAGGAGAGAGACTTCAGAAAGGGTGCCCAGGTACATATCTTTGTGAAGTCGTTTCCTTATTATTGTTGTTCTTGCAATGTATATTAGTTTGCTAGATTATATTCCATCTGTTCCAAATTCATGCTTTGACCAACAATTAACTCGATAATATGTAGTTTATGGTGCACAACATAGACATCATCAGATCAGTATCCAAAAGCACTTTCCATATGATTGTGATTTCATAACCACGTCTGTATTTTTGAATGGGGGTAGTATAGTACTTGTGGGTCCACTGTTTGTTATTTTAGTTGTATATTATTTGTTTTCTGTTTTTTCATGGTATAAAGCTGACTTGTTCAAAAATCGGTTATTGAGTATCAGAATCTAATCTCACATGCTCTCTTATGTAATTCTTGCTCTTTTTATAGTGGTTCGCAATCACGCGAAGACATGCTTTATTGATTCTGGCGGACAACCTTTACTACAAGAAGTTCAAGCTATATTGCAAGGTATGTTTCTTTTCTAGATTGCTATCTTTGGTTAATGGATTGGAGATATACCAGGTATTGTAATAATTAATACACATAGAGTGTTATATGTATTCGAAGCTGTATATATGTTCTAATATGAAGCTGGAGTTGTTATACTAAAACTGCAGTACAGAAATTCAGTAATTACCTCTAATTGGCAAATAGGCCATAATGAACTGAAGAATAAATGCACTTCCATAAACATCAGAAACTTAATGTGCAAACTCTGTTGCAAAGTATAGTTTTTTTTTCTTTCCTTGGCAACAGGTAAAATACTCTAACAAGCTTAATCAGCATGGGAACTTCATATGTTTCTCGTGTTGAATAAATTGTCTTCTGGGATGCATTTGAGTGATGTGCTTGTTATGTAGTCATCATTCCTGAAGTCTTGACCAGTACTTGAGTTTTCCACTTTTCTAGTTCTCTCCGACATTTTTCTCGTAAGTTGATTTTTGGAAAGTAATAATTTATCTATGTCATGTGATTTGCAGCCAGCAGATGGGCGCAACTGTATTGCTGATGAGCATTATTTGCCAACCCTATTCAATGTCAGTATCTACAATCTACAGAAGTTGCATTTACATTTTTTTTCCTTGAGTTACTTGCTAACTAACAAGTCCTTGTTCGAAACATCAGATGGTAGATCCAGGTGGAATAGCTAATTGGTCGGTTACACATGTGGATTGGTCTGAGGGGAAATGGCATCCAAGGTCATACGCAGTTGCTGATGTCAGCTATGATCTGCTAAAGAATATAACAGTATGTTTTTGCCTTGCCTGACTTCTTTCCTGAGATGATCTGTGCATGTTTTTCTATTTAGTGCATAACCCTTACATTGATTGTATTCTAATGTACATTACTGTCACACAGGCCGTTGATGAGACCATCCATGTAACAAGTGATGACAAGGTATGGGCAACAATTTTGCTTCAGTATTTTTCTTCTAGATCTTGCCCGATTACTTTTCCTTTGATTATCTGCTAGTACATATTAAAAATTATCTGTATTGCAATACTTTCCCAATAATCTGCTACAACTGTATGGGATACTGATTTCTGGTTTCTATCCCCTTTGCAGAAACTCGTGACACAGAAGCCATGTTTGTGGAACGGATCAAAGAGTCCATGCTATCTTTTTGCTAGGAAGTTTTACCCCGAAACTCTCGACAGCTTACTGAAGATATTCACCAGCTACACGTCTGTTTGACTTCAACCTGATTCTTTGCACCTCAGCACATGGTTCAAGTACATGAGCATGTCTCCTCTCTTCATGTAAAAATTGTGAAGTCAATCGATACTTAGATCTGGGCCTCGAGCGACGGGTTGCTGTTGCAGCGACCACCGCAAACCTGCGGTTCAGTCCATGGGTGGTAGGGATGCGGCATATTGATAGCGATGATACTGCCCTTGTTGTAATCTATTGTGCTTTCTGTATGTTTCCTTTAAGTCCTTCACCTCTCTCTCCCTCTTTAATCTCTGTCCTAGCCTCATTAGTTCCTGGCTCTTGGATTGGAGATCATATTTTTGTCAATATGCTGTTATTATATGATCCATTCTTTTGTAGACACAAAAAGGAAATGATTGAGAAGTACCACATCTTTTATAGTCTCTTGATTGTTTTTTGGAGTACCACATGTCTTTATGATCTTGTACCAACTGTTTTTGGTTACTGAAAACTGTATTGTGCATCTCTTCTCGCGGCATTTGGCATGTTTTCGGTTGTTACTTTACTGTACATATGTTCTGAGGTGACATGTGGGAGTACCCATGGATGGATGCTTAAGCATAGGCCCAATCGAACACCGTTTGAAACATGTGAATTTTCCTCGGTGTGCAACTTGATAAGCATGGGCCAAATTCACATTGCCTATCAATTTCTTCCTACTTATCATAGTTAAAGAACCGCTAGGAGTTTCGCTACTCGATAAGCATGGGCCAAATTCACAAGGATTTGCCGGCGCACTGCCTTGCACTTTTTTGACCAAAGCGCATGCTTAAGTGTAGATTGAGTGTTAGGCGTTTTGCTACCGCTTAGAGTGTAGTATAGGCACGCCTTTTTGAACTTCTAGAATTATGCTACTTACCCTACTTAAAATTTCTTCATCCACATCACACCTTCGCTACTTACTCTACCACTTAGAGGAGCATCGGTGGTTGCTCCAAATCCAATGTCGGAGGCCCTTTGACGCGATGGTGGATCCAAGGAAGTCAAGGTCGAGCCCCTTTGTGTTCACCCTTCCATCACCTTGGTGATAGAGGAGATTAAGAGAAGCCTCGCTCTTCTCCACCGTATCCGGCCAACACTCTAGCTTATTGAAGGATCTATGGTCCAGCCCTCATTCGACGACTATCGTGGCTTGCAAGCGGTGGTGGAGAGCGTGATAACGACATGATGCCACTCGCCCCGAGGGTAAAACCTAGCTTGCACATGGATTTACAATGATACAAAAAAAGAGCTTCCCAGCCGACGCACCATAGTGGCCTCTGATTCCATTAGCCCCCCTCTCTGTCGGATCGAATGTCTACAACCAAACCCGTGTGCGCACGCGCACCTCAAACCCTGAGGGCGTGTATGGTTGCCTGCATATGGCCTAGCATGGCCCGCGCGGGATGAAAGAGGCCCGTTTGGTTGCCTGCGTTTACTGTGTGGCCCGCATGTCACGGAACTTAAAGCAGCTCCAGGCCAGGCCTAGGGGAAACGCCCGGATTGGCAGTACCTCGCGAGCCTGGCTCAGGCAACGCATGGGAGGGCGACGCGCTTCTCTCCTCGTGCGACCAGGGAGATGGCGCGAGCTCGCCCGCGTCCCCGAAAAATCGACGAGAGGATTTCAGCTCACCTCCCGCCGAGTCCGCCCTATTTAGCCCCCTCCCTCACCGCCCCAACTCCCGCCACCATTCTCTCCCCCCCTCTCGAGCTTCCCTGCCGACGCGCATCGACACCGACGAGCAGGTAAGCGGGGCATCTTCATCGGCCGACGGTCCACGGTGTCGGCGGTCCTTCACCGTCCGGCGGTGATCTTCTACGACCGCCCCCTCGTCCTCGAGCTGCAGCCATTGCCTCTATGAGTTCAACCCCCCTTCTCTCTATTCCTTCTAGCTAGATCTGAGCTGCAGCTAGGGTTTGATGTAGATGCATGGTTGATTAGTGCTTTGATCTGTGAGCTCATATGGTTGATTGCTATGCCGCAGTTGCAATTTATGGTAGGGTTAGATGTTCAAGCATGTGGTAGGCTAGATTAGTAGTAGAGTTTGAAGTTGAACCTTGTGCTTGTGTTGATTCCTGCTTAGATCTGTGATTTGTAGCTATTGGTGGTCCATTTGTAGCATGCTGTTTGTTGTAGATGTATGTTCCTGCTCATAGATTGTTCGGTATGCTTAGTATGATAGCGATGAACCTTGTGCTTGTGTTGATTCCTACTTAGATATGTGATTTGTAGCTATTGGTGGTCCATTTGTAGCATGCTATTTGTTGTAGATGTATGTTCCTGCTCATAGATTGTCCGGTATGCTTAGTACAATAGCGATGAACCATGTGCTTAGTATGATAGTGATGAAGCATGTGCTTGGTATGATAGTGATGAACCATGTACATGTATGCTCCTGCTTTCATGGATTGTCTGGTATGTTGTGTGCTATGCTTACTGTCTATGCATGCTATGATTGTAGGACATGACCACACAGACACAAGATCTTAATCAGGCCCTTGTCCTGTCCGACAACCAGTTTGCTCCATCGTTTTTCGAGGACTCACAGCCTATGTCCGAGATGGCACCTAATTTAGAGGTGTTCGCATATGATTCTGTCTATGTGCCAGTAGTGCTCGTTGAGCAAACTTCTGCTGCTGCTGTTGCTGCCGCTGCACTCAACGTAGCAACAACAAAGGAAAAGAAGGATAGTAGGTCGAACAACATGAAGTGGCAGCCGTTAATGTCCATGTTCATGCTGAACAAGATGTGTAAGTGATACGTCTCCAACGCATCTATTTTTTCAAACACTTCTGCCCTTGTTGTGGACTCTAACTTGCATGATTTGAATGGAACTAACCCGGACTGACGCTGTTTTCAGCAGAACTGCCATGGTGTTATTTTTATGCAGAAATAAAAGTACTCAGAATGACCTGAAAATCCACGGAGACACGTTTCGGAATTAATAAAAAATATTGGCGAAAGAATTAGCATCAGGGGCCCACACCCTGTCCACGACGCTGTAGAGCGCCCCCCCTGGGGCGCGCCCCCCTGCCTCGTGGCCCCCCTGGGACTCCACTGACCTCAACCCCAACTCCATATATTCACTTTCAGAGAGAAAAATCAGAGAGAAGGATTCATCGCGTTTTACGAGACGGAGCCGCCGCCAAGCCCTAATCTTCCTTGGGAGGGCTGATCTGGAGTCTGTTCGGGGCTCCGGAGAGGGGAATCCGTCGCCATCGTCATCATCAACCATCCTCCATCACCAACTTCATGATGCTCACCTTCGTGCGTGAGTAATCCCATCGTAGTCTTGTTGGACGGTGATGGGTTGGATGAGATTTACCATGTAATCGAGTTAGTTTTGTTAGGGTTTAATCCCTAGTATCCATTATTTTCTAAGATTGATGTTGCTATGACTTTTCCATGCTTAATGCTTGTCATTAGGGCCCGAGTGCCATGATTTCAGATCTGAACCTATTATGTTTTTATGAATATATGTGAGTTCTTGATCCTATCTTGCAAGTCAATAGTCACCTACTATGTGTTATGATCCGGCAACCCCGAAGTGACAATAATCGGGACCACTCCCCGTGATGACCATAGTTTGAGGAGTTCATGTATTCACTAAGTGTTAATGCTTTGGTCCGGTACTCTATTAAAAGGAGGCCTTAATATCCCTTAGTTTCCAATAAGGACCCCGCTGCCACGGGAAGGTAGGACAAATTTCATGCAAGTTCTTTTCCATAAGCACGTATGACTATATTCGTAATACATGCCTACATTACATTAATGAACTGGAGCTAGTTCTGTGTCACCCTATGTTATAACTGTTGCATGAGGAATCGCGTCCGACATAATTATCCATCACTGATCCATTGCCTACGAGCTTTTCACATATTGATCTTTGCTTAGTTACTTCTTCGCTACCACTGTTACGATTACTACAAAACTGCTACTGTTACTTTTGCCACTGTTACCGCTACTTCCATATTACTTTGCTACTAAATACTTTGCTGTAGATATTAAGTCTTTCAGGTGTGGTTGAATTGACAACTCAGCCGCTAATACTTGAGAATATTCTTTGGCTCCCCTTGTGTCGAATCAATAAATTTGGGTTGAATACTCTACCCTCGAAAACTATTGCCATCCCCTATACTTGTGGATTATCAAGACTATTTTCTGGCGCCATTGCTGGGGAGCATAGCCCTATTATTTGAGTCACTTGGGATTTATATCTCAATATGAGGAACTTGAAAGATGAAAGAACCACGATTTTTCCCTCAACTACGAGGGGAGGTAAGGAACTGTCATCTAGCTCTGCACTTGATTCACCTTCTGTTTTGAGTAAACTTGTGAGACTTGCACCTGCTATTGATTCTGATATGTCGCATGTTATTGATGATGCCACTTCTGGTATGCATGATGCTTATGACAAAACTACTTCTATTCTTGATAATATTGTGCCATTAGGTGAATTTCTTGATGAACAACTTGCTAGGGTTAGAGAGAATGAAATTATTGAAACTAATAATATTGATGAAACTGATGATGAAGATTCTCCCCTAGATATGAATTGCCTGATGTTCCTGAGGGTTATGTTATGGATGAAGAAACTGCTAGAGATCTTTTTGCTTGCAAAGATAGATATGATCTTAAGAAACTGTTAGCTAAGCTGAAAGAAAAGTCTCTGAATGCTAGAATGAAATATGACTCTGCTTTTGCTACTTCACCTATCTGTAAGGATTATGATTTCTCTATCGATCCTGAGTTAACTACTTTGGTTGAATATGATCCCTTT